GTTACAAATTGAAGATAATAAATTATGAAAATATTGAATCTTTATTCATTTTAAGTACAAGTTATAAATTTATAAGTTTTAAAGAAATTATCCCATATGCGGTCACAAACTTCAAGGTCAAAATAGCTACACAGTTTGTGTTTTTGAATCACTTGACTTTATAAMTTAAAGAAGTATGTTAACTGGAACTTTTTTCACATTTTTTATTCAWTTCAGAACGATATAACAGCGTAATAAAAAGTATTCTAATAAAACAACGGTGTTAATTTTCGTTTTCRTCACATAATTTAAAAGTGTAAAGTGTGCGAAGCCAAAAGAGCTAAAAATTCCTGTATTCCATTTAAGTTTTTCGTTATTTCCAGAGTCCAGAGTCTCCATATAACTCATTAATTGTTTCTAAACCCTGATTTTGTCCTCGGATGTTAACCGATATTTTTGCTTCTGTCGCTCCAATCTTTAGACTATAAAATTGTATGGCGTGAATCTCCTTACGATATTATTTCTCGAAGATTTATAGAATTTATTATGTATACCAAAACCTGTATTGTAATTCTAAATGTTTACACTGTTCTACAYCATCAGTGATAGTTACATTTKTTCTCTTGATAAAATATCAAGAGGTCTTAAAATGCATAAATAATCTTAATTTTTTAAACTTTAATAAAAAATCAATGGTTTTAGATTTTTGCAACAGCATTGCCAATAATCTACCTTCTTAATGATTATTTGAGTTTCCATCCCCAGATCCCACCAAAAGCAATTCGACAATATAATTGTTGAATCATCTTCAAGGGGCCATATACTATTGTACTCAGATGTATCGAATCATGTGAAATTTATGCCTATTTTATTTAACTTAATTAAAAGAGATAGGTCAACTGAGTCGAAAGCTTTGGCTAGGTCCAAAAACATAGCCATCGTACGACTACTTCAGTGCATTTATATGTACATACATACACAGTGTCAGAAAACAACTCGCATAGCACTRTTTCTTGATATTATGATACTTAATTGGTTTCTAGCTAAAAACTTACATCATCTAAAATTAACGTTTTATTTTCCGAAACTTTTAGCTAAATTTGARATAAGTAAAATCAACTTGTAATTAAAAAAAAACAGTCTATTGATTAGCTTAAAGATTTGAAGAATTCCTGTATTTTTTAAATCTGGAGGTCGGTCAARTCTACCGGTCGCACTTTTTTTTCTATTTGTTATAACAACTCTTTGCTTGCCAAATGCTAAAAAATATAAATTTTGTTRTCCGACTCTCCGCTTGGCTATTTTTACTTCATTATCTACAGATTCGGACGAATAATTCCCCCAATGGGTTGAATATATAATTTCTTGCCTATTTAATCTTAAATAATACTAGAAAAATGCATTGAAAATATGTGCATGTACCGCATAATATTTATTACATTTTCTTAATTAAGGAAAATTAGAACATCAAAACTAAAGAAGAATATTTAGTGTGTAGTTCCTTTTTATTCTAACACAAACGTTAGACGTTCGGGCATGAAAAATATTATTTTCGAAAAAACTCTCAATTTGCCCTATTTTTTCAATAAAATCTGATTTAACTGTTAGCTTATTATGCTATTGTCAGTTATATTATGCTGTCGAATTTTTATTTCCATGTAATAGCAAACATTTTCTATATAATTTAGATCCAGAAATTGGGCAGGTGTTAAAGCATTAATTGCACTGCATAATCCTCGGAATATAATGCTTAGGATTTTGGATCTTTGCCATGATATAATGGAAAACTTATTCCGCATTTATTCCCATTTAAGACGCAGTTAATAGCAAAATAATTTTAGATATTTAAATAACCCATTTTGTACAAGATTAATAAAAACTAATCCGCCCACACCAAAAGAGGAAATACACCCCCAAAATATAGCAAACCATGAGAGATGTGTTTCACTGTTGCACAGCAATTTTTACTTTGAAGTTCTTCATTTGGTTTACGCCACACCATTTGTCCTCTTTCAGCCGCAAGTATGTTAAACTTCGGCTCATCACAAAGATAATTCTGAGGTGAACGGTTGACGGAAACAATTTTTTTTCGTTTAGTTGCAGCTTGTCCAACATATCCATTAGCGTAAATGTGAATATTTTTACCAGTAAATTTTTGTACTTTAACTTGAAATTATGGGACACTAACTTTAGTCTACTGTTTTCTTACTGTTTTACTCGTCCCGTGGCAAGACTCTTCGTTTGCATTTAACGCCTTTGGATGGCCTGGTGGTTTTAAAGCAATCTTCATTTTTATAACCCGAAATGAAGTTTTTACGTTCAAATTTTCCGATGACAGTTTCATTGTTTTCATAAATTTGGTTTCTTATTGCGACCCATTTTAATTGACCCGAATTTAACCACTGAACTGACGATATTGAGAGACTCCTAAACATGTGAAAACGGGCATCATTGGCAAAATACTATTAGCGGCATGTCCGAATATATTTTTGGTGCATTAAAAATGTAATAATTCCTTTTCCATTTGGTTCCTTAATTATTAAAATATTTTTCAACGCGTGATTGTGGTATTATTTAAGATTAAATAGACCAGAGATCAAATATGCAATCAATTAAAAAATAATAATAACAAACATTTCATATTCGTGGCAACTTTTATTGAGGATATTTTTGTGATCCACTGCTTCTACTCCATGTTCAATTCAACAATATTTTCTTGGAGCAGCCAATTCGTTTCTTATGGGGTTCGAGACCGGAGGTTTTGCAGGCTCTATCAGTCTATCAATCAAGTAACGGCAGCAGCGATTATTACAAATGTGTATTGAATGCTTTTGCTTATGACTGTAGAAGTGGCTTCGTAAAATAACAACTTGTAATTGTATCGGCAACCTTGAACTAGTCAGCAAAAACCAAGCAATTATCCAAAGAATGTAATTGTCTGCGATTCGATCAGAGGTTTGTTTCGGCTGCTTATTTTTTCACATTCCCGAGTCTCTATTGTAGTCAAATAATTTTTTGTTGTTGCTTAATTCTTCCTGCTGCTGAGTGCTAATCGCCAATTATGCAACAATTGCTGCAGTAATTATTTTCTATTTGAATTGTGAATAATCAAGCCAACTACATAAGTGCACGAAATTACGTGATACATTATCTGGTTCTGCTTCTAATGATTGCTGATTGCCTTCCCTTTATGGTGCCGACTGTGTACAGAGCCTCTCAATTCTGTTTATTACCCAATTAATCGCGTAGCTTATCAGAATAATTGCAATTGCTTGGTTGGCAATGTTAATCAACTTTTTTTAATAGAGATTATTTTAAAAGTTGTATATCTGCAAGCTGTTCATATATAAATATACGTCATAAAAAAATTGGCATTTTACGGTACAAAAAACGTTTCGCTCTTATTATCAGCGTGAAGCAATGATTGCACTTATGTTTTAAACCGAATTTAGTAATCTAAATTTTCTGCACGAAGGCGTTTAGATGGTAACTGTGGCATAACCAGCCACGACATTCGCAACGGTTCTTCTGGCTAAAGAAATTAAACGGCATGGCTAAATTGCACCAAAAAGAAATCGGTTTTTGCAAAATGCACGTCCCGTCAAAAACATAATAATAATAAACAAATAGTAATTAAGTTAACTGCGTATTGAAACAGTTAGTTTTTATAAGTTGGCTTTCCAAAACTGGCTTACGCACACCATATATGTTTAGGGTTAATTACATTCCGTCCCGTATTTCCGGTACGAAATGTTGATATTCAGTTCACGAACTCAATAAACACGATCAAGCATTATCTAAGCAACACAATTTATAAATAAACGCAAATTATAAAATATGTTTATTGTCTATTATAGTATAGTCTTGTAGCGAAATTTAACGTAAATGATTCAATTTTTTGAATAGTGTTTTGTAATAAATAGAACTTGTTCGTGGAAGATGTCATAACTCGAAAACTAGTCGTCTTCTTAACTACGAAAAAATCATACTTTTTCAAATTTTTATATAAATTAAAACATTTTTACGCGAGATGGAAATGAAATACTGAAAAATTGTTTTTTCGTCATTAGATTTTTTTATTACCTACAACTTTTGTATTGAACGTTTTCCGCTAGGAGATTACGTTTCGCCGCAAATCTAACCGTTTTCTACCCATAACTGCTTTAACATTTCACCATTTCTAGTGTTTTCGTTTTTAAATTATATTTTTTTCTTAAAGTTGGCACCTCAACAACATTTTCCACTTAGTCCTTGCCTGTTATTAATTATTTTCATTATTATCAAATTCGTTTCGACACCAGCCTGATTCCTGGGCGAATTGTACAAATTCTACAAAGAAAATTTAACGATTTTTTAATAAAAAAGGAGGATTTCATTAGTTGAAAGACATTTCTTCGGTTTTAATTGGGGAAATTGTACAAAGCTCAATTAGGGATCCGGCAATGGTGTGAAAATTTAGATATGCACCTATAACAAGTGAAGACATGGAGAGAAGTTTTCCACTTGCAAAAATATTCTTAGGCTGCAAAATTTTACAATGGGACAAATAATTTCACTTATTTGTTTACCGGTTTTATTTAGAATAAACATTGGTTTTAGGAAAACATGCTTAGGTTTTTTGAAGTAATTAGAATCAATCTATTTAAGAAAACTTTCATTTATTTTATTACATATTTCATTGCATTAAATTTTATTTGAAATGTTTAAATCGTTATATTTTTACTCCACTGAAAGAATTTTGTTCATTTTTAATGGTTTTTTACATATTGCTGCGTTTTTTGGAAGATATCAATTTGCTTATCAGGCGCTTTTTTCGACAATTTTAGTGCTTTTTAATCCGGAATCTAGTAATAAAGCATGATAAATGTTATTGAATCAACACACTGTCCCTATAATAAAATATTGCCGTAAATCAGCAGTTCAGGGTTTATATAAGTAATACCTTTTAGATGCTGCGAATTAATTTAATAATTATTTGCTTTAAAGTAATTTTTTATTGAAAGTTGTAATTTATTTTTCAGTTGGAGACATGGTTCAAAGGGGGCACGGCAAAACGACCAGCTGGCCAAAGACCCAGCTCGCAGTTGGGTCCAAACTCAGAAGCCGACATTCAGGTAGATGAGGACTACGCCAACAAGGTCGAATTAATGTCCGAAAAAGACATTAATGCCAAATATGAAGAAATGCTGGTATGTATAAGTCCCCTGCCTCCTGCTGGCAAATCATAGCTATTCGATCCACTATTTCAATGTATGTTATTTAGTTTTTATTACTTAAAATCTATTTAATTTGAACGTTTCGCCCGAAACAAAAAATACTTTTCTGTCTCAATTATGAGTTTGAAATCAATGCATTAAGATCCTCAAAACTATTCAAGAATTAATAGGGATATTGAATATTTTTCTGAGTATTTTTATTGAGCTTTTTGTTCTTGTGGTTCCACTGCCCAAATATACAGTGTTTTGGAAGACGTGAGAATATCCATTATTTTTTATTAACTCTAAACTTATGGTTAACCCTTTCGCTCATAAATTTTTATTGTTATAAAGAAAAAATTGATTTTTTGAAAATCAATTTATATTTTTTTGTAAATTTTTGATGTCAAAAGTTTTTCTGTATTTTTTTTTGGTTTTTTGGTTTCTTGATGTACACATTTGTGTACATTGGTAGTCAATGGTACAAAAAATAAATTAAACAAAAAAATTACTTTGTATTCGTATGTATTTGTATATATTGAAAAACAGTTGCTTTTTTTGTGAAGCACAGGTGAACATTACATTTTTGACATGAAATTCTTGATCGTCCTTTACACCCAGGCACTTTACAACTAGATACAAAGTCTTTTACATCAATGGATGGTAAATGGTCTAGTCTGTCCAAACGAACTTCGGCTATCGGTTCAATTTCTGGTGTTACTTTTAAAGTTTTGGGCGATGAAGGACCTGGACTATCAGCTGTTGGACGCCCCCCTCTTTTTAGTGAATGTTTTTTTTCCGCTAAGATTACAATAATAGAACCTGAGCAATATAGGCTCTGAAGTGCAGCAAATCTAGGATATCTCTATGTCATGAGCAAACATTATCAGAGTCCACTTTTTATACCTGATAAATGTCCGATATAAGGTAATAAGAAACTTCATCTTATCAACACCCCTATTTGAGAGTTATTCTTCGACTTTTGTGGAGTTTTCGCGGATGTGCTGACAGGTTCATCTTCGGTTGTTCTGGCCGCTCAGCCTCTTCCTTATCATCACTCAATAGCATTTTCAGTAATTTTACAAGGTAAAACATGTATATGCTACGTTCAAGATATATAATAAATACTGGTAACAAGTTGTGTAGCTTCAGGATCAAAATCAAAGACATCTTCATTGAATTCGTCGTCGCTAAGTCCAATGTCTGATAATCCGGCATCTATGAAATCGAATAGTTATCTTTCTGTTAGCGGGCGATTTCGACTCATTATAAACCTCTATCCTAAGGATCCTATAATACTCAACTGTCTACTATTATGAAAAAGAAAAAAGTACTGTTAAGTTTATCTTCTAATTTTACTCCCCTGACTCACAGTGTACACAAATGTGTACGTGTTTTTAAAGAGCAAAAAAATGTGCTTTCGAAAAAAAACTGTATCACTGTTTGCACTCACAAAACCACATTTTATTAATTTGTTTCTAATTTGTCTAAACTATTTCCACCACAGACAAAATGCCAAGAAGATCTAACAGATAATGTTGCATATGTTACACCCTCAGTGACCGCCAGCTGTTAGAATTAGAGAAATAAACTTTTGTAGAAAACCCTTAGAGGGTGTTACTTATACTACATGTAACATTATAATGTACACAAATGTGGACACAATGAACAAGCAGCTAAAATACTTTCTGAATTTATGTAAGGATACCGATAATTGATGTACACAAATGTGTACACAGTGACCGAAAGGGTTAACGGGCTTTGAATAATTTTATTGCCATATTCTGCAACTGTGGTAACTTCTCCCGAAACTGTTTTGAAACCATTTGTCGACTGCGCAGAATATTTGTAATTGTACTCCATTATTTTTATTCGTATAAATAAAATGCAAGGAACTATTTTTTTAAGCGCAATTTTCACAGCGGAATGTGACACAAAAATTATTCAAAGCCCGTTACCCAGAAGTTTGAAGTTGTTAAAAAATTGGATATTGGAACCGTTTCCCAAGCACTTTATTTGGAAATTGAAAGATTCAACAGCAAAAAAAACTGAGTCATTCTAAAACCAATGAAATTATCTAGTAGCAGTGAAGGACAGAGTCGTCTACATGCCTGCATGCGAAAAGATAGACCCCAAAGAAAAATAATAAATATTCTGTTTAATTTTTGAGTAGTGTTTCGATGTGTGTGGATTTTGCAAAGTTCTTTATTGACATTTTGGTGATAATATTTTTATAAAATTAGGAGATGTACTCTATGTACTCTCGATGTAAATATACAAGACGGACCAGTTTTGATAGGAAAGATTTATCCATTTACTGTTTTACATAAAAAATAGATATATTTGAATAACAAGCAATATTTTTTTTGTTGAATACTTGCTTTTTATGTCGCTATGAAAATACGAATTTAGATGTAAATGCAAGATGTTTCACAGTATTTTGATACATTTTGGTCATTTCTCGTTTGAAAACGGTTATAAATATTGAAATGCCGTTTGGACATAAACTACTTTTACAACGTTTTTTCCAGTCGACAAAAACTTAATATAGAACAGGAAGCCACTTTGCCTGCAGATCAGTTTGATTAGAGAGCCGTATTTTCTGAAAACTTCGTGCGGATAATTAAAGTATCTGCTGGTTATTTGCTTTAAATAGATTTTTGATTTTCCGAAAATATTGAGTCTAATAAAAAAATCATTGGATAATTAGTAAAATTTCTGTCTCAATTTCACAATATCTAAGTATGAATATGAAACAACTTAATCTGTATTATTTCAACTTTAAATGCAGCCTCTGTAATGCATTTTTTTGTAATCATGTTTAGGTTTTGATAGTTGAAAACTGACGAATTTCCGCATAGGATTAAATCCAACTGCACAAAATAACAACTACTAAAAAGGTATAGTGCTCGGAACAATTTTCGTTTCATGTACCAATTTGCGAATCCCGTCACCAATACGTATAGAGAACGGAAATATTTAAAAACGGCTTTTCGATAGGGAAAGGAAATTTGCTAACCGCGCTGTTTGTAAGTATTGAGTTACATTTGGAACTGCGCATTCAATGTCCAGTTCACTTTTTAGTGGTTGATCCTCCAGACAGAGCACACAAAACAAATTGTCGATAATTCTGAATAACCGATTAAATTTTCTTCGAATTTGTCGAATTTCGTTTATTTCTGTCTAATGTTTTGCTTGGCTTTTGCAAAAGCAATGCATTTGTTTTTATTCTCTTCTTCAATCTATTTCTTGGCTATTTCAACAGTGAATCAGCATCACGATCAACAATAAATGCACTTAGCGCAAGCAATGATATTGCAATACGTTTCATTTGGAGCTTCTCCACTGTGAAATTTATAGTAATAAGAAGAGTACATAATTAATTTAAACTAGAAGGAATTTTTTTGTTCATTTTTTGCATAAACTGCTGTATTATATGAAAATCCGTTTTTTTATTTCTGATATTTATGAAAACGTTATATGATTATTCCTTTTTTTTCACGGGGCACATACAAATGTACACTTTCACTTTGTATATTTGCAATTTTATATAATCTTTTCAGTTTATCAGTCCCAAGACAAATCATTAGGACATTTTTATATTTTTCGTTCGCCATTTTGTTCAAAAGCAGAGTTATTTACTTGCTGGTTTAAAAGGCTTGTTTATATTTCGAATCATACATTTTCTAATCAA